CCTAACCCTGAAATGTACCCCACATCTTTAAAATTAAAAATTTAAAAAAAAAGAAGAGGGAAAAATGATCTATGAATTAGAAGCAGCTGTTTAAAGACTTGGTGAGAGAAAAGGCTTGGCAATCAAGAAACTAAAACTCAAACCTAACTAAACTAGAAAGTGTGAAGGTGAAAACAGAAATACATTGGTAGGAAGAAAGGATAAGTAAAGAATGGAAAGAACTTATAAAGTCAAAAATGGTTAACTTTATCCGAGGAGGCAAGGGAAGAAGATTGTTACACACACACACACACACACACACACACACACACACACACACACACAAACACATCTCCAGTCTCCTTTTTCTGTCTCCAGAGTTAATCACTATTCAGTAGTTTTTATGTAATTTTTCTATCTATATTTTTATATTTTACTACATATTTATATATCAAAAATACTGTTGTTTCATATATTTTCAAAATTTGCTTTTACCAACTAAATATTATTCTTTTGAGATCTGTCTACTATGAGGCATATAGAACAAATTAATTTTTTGCTGTTATATAATATTAAGTCGCATTACTAAATCATAATTTAGGCATCCGTTCCTTAGGAATGGATTTTTCTTTTCTTTTTTTTGAGTTGGAGTCTCACTCTTGTCGCCCAGACTGGAGTGCAGTGGCATGCTCATGGCCACTGCAGCCTTGACCCGCTGGGCTTAGGTGATCCTTCTGCCTCAGCCTTCCAAGTAGCTGGACACATGCCACCATACCCGGCTAGTTTTTGTGATTTATTGTAGAAACGAGGTCTCACCAAGTTGCACAGGTTGGTTTTGAACCCCCGGGCTCAGGCAGTCCTCTCACCTTGCCTCCCAAAGTGCTGGAATTACAGGCTGAGCCACCGTGCTCAGCCAGGAATGGATTTTTCAATTAATAATTATAAAATAACAATACCTAACATTTATTAAGGAAAATTTATTATATGTCAGGCACTGTGCTGTGTTCTTTACATATACAAACTTCAGGCACTATTATAATATCCATCTTGTAAATGTCTTCTTGTATGATAACTTTCCAGGGATGTATGCCTAAAAGTGGAATCACTGGGTCACAGACTATGTATAGCCTTGCCCTTGCTAGATGTTACCAAAATTTTCCACAACATGGCTGTGCCCGAACATCAGTGAATGAGAGCTTGCTTTTCCCATATCTTTTATCAGTCTGCTGGGTCTGAAAAGGTATCTGGCTTTTGTTTGCATTTTTCAAATTAATAGTGTAAATGAGTCTGGATTTTTTTTAGATTTTAGTGACTCTATTGTAATCTTAATGTTTTTATTCTATTTCAGGAGTTAACAAATCTTTTTTGTAAAGGGCCAGATAGTGTGATATGGTATCTAATGCAACTTTTCAAGTCTCCCTTTGTAATGTGTGCCATTGTAGTACAAAAGTAGTCAAGGATATGTTAACATGGCTGTGTTCCAACAAAGCTTTATTAACATTGAAATTTGAAGTTCATAAAATTTTTATCTGTCATATAAATTATTCTATTGATTTTTCTAACCACTAAAAATATAAAAAGTAAAATGATAAAATACTAAAAATGTAAAATTCTTAGTGCATGGGCTATACAAAAGCAAGCGTAGGCTGGGCATGGTAGCTCAAGCCTGTAACCCCTCAAGCTGTGAGTGTGGCAGAGGGGACCTGGTAGATCAATCCCTGGGCAAACAACTGGTGCATACAAGCGAGTGCAAGTAGTGGTGGCAGTAGGCAGGTAGGCCTATCTGCAGGTCCGTGGAAAGTACATGTAAGCAGCAGCAGTGAGTGATACAGACTCATCCCTAGGCCCTGGAAGATGTGTATGGATGCCATCAGTGGTGGTTGGGGTGGATCTATCCCTAGTCCCCTGGATGATGTGTGCAGGTGCTGGCAGAGGTGACAGTGGGTTGGGTGAACCTGTCCTCAGGCCCCTGGATGGTACATGTGGGTGCTGGTGGTAACAGGTGGAACAGGTCAATTCCTTGCCTCCTGGACAATGTGCATGGCAGTGGTGGCAGAAAGAGTGTGGACCTGTCCTCAGGCCCCTTTATGGTGCACACAGTTGCTGGCTGTAGTGGGTACAGTGGGTTGATCCCTAGGCCCCCAGACAGTGCACTTGAGTATTGGCAGTGGTGGCAGTGGATGGCACAGGCATGCCCTCAGTTCACTGATATTAAAGGTTAATATTGATATATGGGGTTTTGGTCCTGTCAGTGTTAGCTAGTTGCTTTGTAGTCTTGGTTGTGTGTTTGCTTTACAGGGTCTGTGGGCTAAGTGCTTACATGTGTTTTTGTGGTAGGAACTATCATCCTTTTGTTGCCATGTTTAGAAATCCCTTAGGATATCTTGTTGAACTGGTCTGTTGATGATAAATTCCCTTAGCAATTGCTTGTCTGGGAAATCTTTTATCTTTCCTTTTTTATGAAGCTTAGTTTGGCAGGGTAAGAAACTCTTGGCAGGCATTAAGCAGATATTTGTTGAATGAATTAAAATATGAACTAGATTTTTTGTGTGTGTTATGTCCATTATAAGAACAAAACATTTTCTAAAATCAGAGAGGAAGAGAGAGAAAGGGAAAAGTCAATCTTGTTTTCCTTATAATTGTTGGTTCTGAGTTGGGATGCTTCATTTTCATTTGTGACTAGGATTTTTTAGTAATACTTTTTTCTCATAATAACTGATTATTTTATTGAAAATCTGGAAAATATGGAAACGCGTAAGTTGAGTATAAAAACATCCATAATTATTTCTTCTAGAGTTAGCTACCATTAATATTTTGATATTTTTATTTTTGTATTTACTTTTTCTTAGTTTTTGTTATTATTATTTTTAACTGACACATAATTGTGCATATTTATAAGTTACAGTGTGATATTTTGATTATGTACACAATGTACAATGATCATATCAGAGTAATTAGCATATCTATAACCTCAAATAGTTATCATTTTTTATGTTGAGAACATACAGAATCCACTATTCTAGTTACTTGAAAATATGCAGTAAGCTGCTATTAACTATATCCATGTTATGGTGCTATAGAACACTAGATATTTCTACTATCTAGCTGTACTTTTGAATTTGTTTACTAAACTTTTGACAACTCCCTATTCCCTGCCTCTAGTAACAATATTCTACAATCTACTCCTGTGAGATCAACTTTTGTAGCTTCCACATATGAATGACATGTGGTATTTATCTTTCTATGCCTTGCTTATTTCACTTAACACAATGTCTTTCCAGATCTTCTGTGTTACTGTGAATGACAGAATTTTTAAAAATTGCCAAATGGTATTCCATGATGTTTGTATACCACATTTTCATTATTCATTCATCTGTTAGTGGACATTAGGTTGATTACTTATCTTGACTGTTGTGAATAGTGCTTCAATAAACATGGGAGTGCGGCTGTTTCTTTGACATATTGATTTCCTTTCCTCTGGAAAGCATAGTAGTGCTATGACTGGATTTTATGGTAGTTCTGTTTTTAGTTTTTTGAGAAACCTCCATATCATTTGTTGTAATGACTCTACTAATTTATGCTCCCACCAACAGTGTATAAATTTCTTCTTCTCTATATCCTTGCCAGAATTATTTTTTCTTTTTAGTAATAGTCATCTTAAAATGGGGTGGAATGATATCTCATTGTAGTTTTGATTTGTATTTCTTTGGTGATCATTGATGATGAGCACTTTTTAATATACCTATTAGCCATTTGTATGTCTTCTTTTGAGAGATGTTTGTTTGCCTCATTTGCCCATTTTAAAATCAGATAATTTGTTGTTGTTGTTGTTGTTTTTGTCTGTTAACTTGTTTGGGTCCCTTGTATATTCTGGATATTAATCCTTTGTTGAATTGTTAGTTTGCAAATATTTTCTTTCGTTCTGGAGTTTGTCTCTTCACTCTGTTGATTACTCTGCTGTGCAGAAGCTTTTTAAGTTGGTATAATTTCATTTGTCTATTTTTGCTTGTTTGTCTGTGCTTTTGACTTCTCCATAAAAATCTTTCCCTAGTCCAATGTCCCCCCTATTTTCTCATAGTACTTTCATAGTTCTGGGTTTTACATATAAGTCATTGATGTATTTTGAGTTTATTTTTGTATATGATGAGAATTAGAAGTCTAGTTTTATTTTTCTATATATGAATGTTCTTTTTCCCAGCATGACTAATTAAAGAGATTGTCCCTTCCTCAATGAATCTTTTTGGTGCCTTTGTCAAAAATTAGCTCACACCGGGCGCGGTGGCTCAGGCCTGTAATCCCAGCATTTTGGGAGGCTGAGGTAAGGGAATTACCTGAACCCAGAGGTTCGAGACCAGCCTGGGCAACTTGGCGAGACCTCATCTCTACAATTAAAAAGTAATAATAATTATAATATATAGCTGGGCGTGGTAGCACGTGTCTGTAGTTCCAGCTACTCCGAAGGCTGAGGCGGAAGGATCATAGGAGCCCAGCAAATCCACGCTGGGGTGGCTGTGAGTGTGCCACTGCACTCCAGCCTGGGCAATAGAGTGAGACTCCAACTCAAAAAAAAAAATTAGTCAGCTATAAATATGTGGACTTATTTCTGGGTTCTATTCAGTTCCATTGCTCTATATGTCTGTTTTTATGCCAGTACTATTTGGGTTGCTATTACTTTGTAGTATATTTTGTAGTTTGGTAGTATGATGCCGTCAGCTTTGTTCTTTTTGCTCAGGATTGCTGTAGGTATTCAGGGTCTTTTGTGATTCCATATGAATTTAAGGATTTCTTTCTTTCTTTTTCTTTTTCTTTTTTTTTTTGAGTTGGAGTCTCACTCCATCACCCAGGCTAGAATGCAGTGGCACACTCATGGTCACCCTAGCGTCGACCCGCTGGGCTCTAGCGATCCTTTCACCTCAGCCTTCAAAGTTGCCGGAACTACAAGTGCGCGCCACCACGCCTGGATAATTTTTTATTTATTGTAGAGACAAGGTCTTGCCAATTGCCTGGGCTGGTCTGGAACCCGAAAGCTCAGGCAATTCACTCGCCTTGGCTTCCCAAAGTGCTAGGATTACAGGCTGAACCACTGAGCCCAGCTAAATTTAAGGATTAAAAAAAAAATTCTTTGAAGAATGTCATTAGTATTTTGATAAGGATTGAATTGAATCTGTAGATTGCTTTGGGTAGTATGGTTATTTATTTATTTTTTAAAACCCGCCCCCATGGTTATTTTAACAGTATCAATTCTTCCAGTCTATCAACATGGGATGTCTTTTTATTTTTTGGTGTCTTCTTCAATTTTTAAAAATATTTGGTACATGAGAGTATTTGTTACATGCAGAGAATATGTAATGATCAAGTTAGAGTATTTAGGGCTTTTATCACCTAGAGTATTTGTTATTTGTGTTGGGAGCATTTCAAATCCTCTGTTCTAGCTACTTTAAATTAAACAATACATTGTTGCTAACTATAGTCACCATAGTCTGCTATTGAACATTAGAACTTATATCTTTCTTCTTCAAACCCTCCCTCCCCATCCACACATCCTTCCCAGCCTCTGGTATCTATAATACTGTCTTCTACTTTTTTAGCTCGTACATGTGAATGAGTACATGCGATATTTGCCTTTCTGTGCCTGGCTATGTTCACTTAATATAATGACCTCCAGTTCCATCTGTTGTTGCTGCAAATGACATTAGTTCGTTCTTTTTTTATGACCAAGTAGTATTCCATTGTGTACATATATATATCTTTTTAAAAAATTCATCCATTGATGGACATTTAGATTGATTTCCTGTTTTGGCTATTTTGCTGCAATAAACAGGGGAGTAAAGGTATCTCTTTTAATATGCTGATTTCTTTTCCTTTGGATAGATACCTAATAGTGAGATTGCAGATCAAAAGGTGGTTCTATTTTTAGTTTTGCAAGATATCTTTACTGTTTTCTACAGTGGCAGTACAAATTTACATTCCCATCAACAGTGTATAAGAGTTCTGTTTTCTCTGCATCCTTACCAGCATCTGTTATTTTTTGTCTTTTTAAAAATAGCCATTCTAATTGGGGTAGATGATATCTTATTGTGGTTTTGATTCGCATTTTCCTGATAATGATGTTGAACATTTTTCAAATACCTGTTAGTCATTTGTATGTCTTCTTTTGGGAAATGTCTGTTCATGTCCTTTGCCTACTTTTTAATGGGATTATTTGTTTTGTTTCTTTTTTCTTTCTCTTTTTACTGTTGAGCTGTTTGATTTCCTTGTACATTCTAGATATTGCTCCCTTGTCAAATGAGGAGTTTGCAAATATTTTTGGTGTTCTCTTCAATTTTTAAAAATATTGAGTACATATGAGTATTTGTTGTTCCATGAATAGAATGTATAATGACTACACTATATTGATTATTTCCTTTGCTGTGCAGTTTTTAAATTTAATGTCCCATTTGGTTTTGGTCTGGTCTGTGCTTCTGAGGTCTTAACCATAAAATCTTTGCCTAGACCAAAGGCTTGAAGAATTTTCCCTGTTTTCTTTTAGTAGTTTTGTAGTTTAGGCTGTTACATTTACTGTCTTTCCCAGGCTGGGAATTCAGTTTCATTCTTCTGCACATGGCTACCCAATTTTCCCAGCACCATTTACTGAAGAGGGTGTCCTTTCCTCAATATATGTTCTTAGTGCCTTTTCTCAAAGATCAGTTAGCTGTAAATACGTGGATTTATTTCTGGAATCTCTATTTTGTTTCATTGATCTATTTAACTATTTTTATACCAATATCATGCTGATTTGGATACAATAGTCTTGTAATAAATTTTGAAGTTGGGTAGTGTAATGACTCCAGCTTTTGTTCTTTTTGCTCATGATTGCTTTGGCTATTTGGGCTCTTTTTTGGGTTCCATAGGAATTTCAGAATGTTGTTTATATTTCTGTGAAAAATGATGTTGGTATTTTGATAGGGATTACATTGAATTATGTAGATTGCTTTTGGCAGTATGCTCATTTTAATGATATTAATTGTTTTAATCCATTGAGTATGGGATGTCTATTTGTTAGTGTCCTCTTCAATTTCTTTCATCAGCTTTTGTTGTTTTCCTTATAGAGATTTTTCACATCATTGGTTAATTTAATTCCTAGATATTTCTTGGATAGCTTTATAAATAGAATTGCTTTCCTGATTTATTTTTCTGCTAGTTCATGTTAGTGTTTAGAAACACTATGCATTTGTGTATGTTAATTTAGTATACTGCCTATTTACTGAATTTTTATATCAGTCCTAAGACGTTTCTGGTGGAGCTTTTATCTATATATAAGATCATGTTGTCTGCAAATAGGGACAATTTAACTTCTTTCTAATCTAGATGCCCTTTATTTCTTTCTCTTACTCTGGCTAGGACTTTCTCTATGAGTGTGTGTGTGTGTGTGTGTGTGTGTATGTGTTTTGTAGAAATGAGATCAAGCAATATATAATTTTATCATTTGGGCTTTTATTATTATTTTTTGAGTTGGAGTCTCACTCCATCGCCCAGGCTGGAGTGCAGTGGTACACTCATGGCCACCCCATCATCAACCTGCTGGGCTCCAACAATTCTGCCGCCTCAGCCTTCCAAAGAGCCAGAACTACAGGTGCACGATATCATGCCTGGCTAATTTTTGATTTATTGTAGAGTCGAGGTCTCACCAAGTTGCCTAGGCTGGTCTGGAATCCACTGGCTCAGGCAATCCACTCGCCTTGGCCTCTCAAAGCACTGTGATTACAGGCTGAGCCACTGAGCCTGGCCCAGGCTTTTTAATTTTATATTATAACATGAAGAATTTTTCCATGAACCCAAAGAATTTAGAATATGATCTTTAATTAGCTGCAGAGTTTTTATTATAGAATGACATCATATTTTTATCTAACCAATCCCTTATTGTTGGATGTTAAGATTGTTTCTAGATTTTTGCTTTAGCTGTTATAAATCAGGGTCATGAATTCTGTTTTTGAAATTAAGATCTACTAAAAAAATTAAAATCTAAGTTTTAGACAGTAAAGTGCACAAATCTTAAAGATAGAGCTGAATGAAATTTTATATGTGTGTTCACTTGTGTTAATTTTCCTCAATTATTTTGAACAAATGGAAAACTCCAAGTAGGAAGAGACTTTAAGAACTGATGTGGTGGTTCCTGGCTTTTGCTAAGACTAGAAGAATTCTACATCACTGGCTTTTAATTCTTATCACAAAGTTAACAGCCCTTGGGAGAGAGTGTGTCAAAAGATTTGTAAAATGCTACTTGTCATTTTATAACTTCAGTGTTTGTATTTACCTCAAAAAGCCTTTTAATATTAAGAGAAGCTTCAATGTAAATGAGAAGGAAGAGGTATGTTCTGGTTCATATAAAGAAATAATGGTTAAGAAAAAGCTGCTTAATTATACTTAAGATTTTGAGTGGTTGGGAGAGAATTTTCTGTAACTTGTACTAATTGTATATGATTTTAAATTTTAGTGACTCTCAATTATTGGTCATTGTACCTTTAATAAAGATTCCTGAGTCTATGACCAAAGAAGATTAACAATAAAACTATTAGGTTATTTTTATTTGTATTCTGAATATTTCATTAGGTAAGTGTTATTATACCACTGGAATGTCATGTTGTCAAAATGCTAGTGAATGAAGAAAAGAATAAAGCCTTGTGTGGTGCCTCACACTTATAATCCCAGCACTTTGGGTGGCTGAGATGAGAGAATTGCCTGAACCCAGGGGTTTGAGACCAACCTGGGCAACTTGGCGAGACCTCATCTCTACAAAAAATCAAGAAAAATTAACTGGGTGTGATGGCGCATGCGTATAGTTCCAGGTACTTGGAAGGCTGAGGCAAAAGAATCGCCTGAGCCCAGCAGGTTGAGGCTGCAGTGGCCATGAGCATGCCAATGCACTCCAGCCTGAGTGACAGAGTGAGACTTCAATCAATTAAAAATAAAAAGATTGTAATAGTTATAAATAGAATGTGAATGTTTTTATCCTATTTTACTGTATATGTGCTATCAACATATTCAGCAATTATACCATAATTACCTTAGGATGAGTTTTAAAAGAATATATTACCTATTTTAGAATAAATTTCTTTTTTAAAATGTGTCTATATAGCTCTTTCTTACTTTTAAAATAGAATTGTAGAAGAATACCATGACTTATATACATTACAAAGAGAAAGGATGGAGAATGATATTAAACAGTTAATGGCAGAACGAGATATCTGGAGCTCAGCCACATATGAATTGTCCCTAAAGGTTGGTTCATCTGAATTCACAACTCAAACTTCTTTTTTTGGCTAAAGATTTATTTTATGATTTTTCAATTATCTAGAGAAAGACCTAAAAAAATTAAGATGTATGTTTATTGATGAATAATATAGCTTTTGTAGGCCTTGACAAGGGAAAGTTAATTTTCTTCTTCCTTTTTTTTTTTTTGTTATGGGGAGATGCCTGGCTATTACACAATTAGATCTTTTCCACCAGAACCTATGAAGTATGAGCAAGAATTCTTTTTCTGTTGTTTGGAAACATGTTAAAAAAATTAACTTTAATTTATGCTAATAAAATAAATTTCTTATTTTTTCACATAATGTAATTGTATTTGGATTACGGGATTTCACACTCTGATTCTGTTACCTTGTTACACAAGAAGACAAATGAATTGATGAATAGCAAAGTCCCACACTATTCTATATTCCTAAATTGTTTACTTGTTGGTTACCTATTTTGACATCTAGGACTTATAGGTATAAACAGTGAATTTTGACCCTCAACAGATTAAAAATTGGTTCAGATATATTGGTCAGTGGTCCACTGGTAGCAGGTCATAGGGTTCTCCATGGAGATATACTGCAATAACACATCTATATTAGAGTTCATTATCAGTCCTGCTCTATTATAGTACCTTGTCAATCATTTGGATGAAAATGTAGAAAGTGTCTCTGTCAAAGTGTGCATATGTCCAAAGATAGAGAGAGGTTAATACACTGGATGGTGGAATCAAGGCTTGTTTATTTAGAAAACTTCATTTGCTTGGCTGAGGTAATTTTTAGAAATCTAGGCCGGGCATGGTGGCTCACACCTGTAATCCCAGCACTTTGGGAGGCCGAGGTGAGAGGATTGCCTCAGCCCACGGGTTTGAGAACAGCCTGGGCAACTTGGTGAGACTTCATCTCTACAATAAATCAAAATATTAGCCAGGGGTGGTAGTGTGTACCTGTAGTTCCGGCTACTTGGAAGACTGAGGCGGAAGGATCACCTGAGCCGCCCAGCAGGTTGATGCTGGGGTGGCAGTGAGCATGCCACTGCACTCCAGCTTGGATGATGGAGTGAGACTCCAACTCAAAAAAAATAAAGAAAGAAAGAAAAGAAAAGAAAAGAAATCTAGAGCATTACTGGAGACATGCTAGAAGTATTTTCATTCAAGAAAGGAGAAGGAAGTTTTGCTATCACTAGAAACCCTAATTCAGTAATGAAGTTCAAATAAAATCAAGAGGTATAACTACTGGAAGGAAGCCACAAAAACCACTGTTATTTGCTGATGATGCAATTATGTATCCAGAAAACTAGAAAAAAAATCTATTTCAAGATTATTTTAACTAGCCTTTAATAAAGTAATTGGATAAAGACAAGTATACAAGACAACCTAGATTACATATATACAAGTAATAAGCAATTAGAAATGCAAAGAGGGAATAAACTTAAGAAATGATAAGGCTTATATTTTTGAAATCTCGAAAACTATACTAAAGTACTTAAAAGAAAACTAAAAGGAAAGCTATATTACATATCATGGGTTGAGAAGAATAATCAGTAGTGTTTAGATGTCAGTTCTATCCAAATTAATCTGTAAATTCAATGTAATTCCATTCAAACTCTCAATAACTATTTTATTTTTAAGAACTTGGCAAGTTGATTATGAAACTTACCTGGAAGAAGCTGAATAAGAGAATAATAAAACATTTTAAAAGAAGATTAATAAGACATAACTCATACCTCTAGACATCAAAATGTATTATAAAGTCAAAGCAACTGAGAATATAGTACTTGAATTAGAATATACAAATACAAAAGAACATAATCGAAAGTTCAGAAATAGACATGTATATATGGGATATTCAAATTAGATTGGCACAATTGGTTACCCAACTGTTAGAAAATTTAGATCTCTATTAAAAATTACATTAAAAATGTAAATCTCAGAAGGGATTAAATATTTAAATGTAAAAATAAAGAAGCAATAAACATATTAGAATGAAGTATGAGAATTTTTTTTAAATAGTAGCTTTACTGACATAATTCAAATACCATAAGTTCACCAATTAAAGTTAAAACATAGAATTCTATGGTTTTTAGCACATTCACAGAGCTATTCATCACAATCAGTTTGAAAGATTTTTACCATCCTTAAAAAAAACTTCATACATTTAGCATCCACTTCACATTACCCCTAATCCATCCAAGTAGACCGCCATTGATATACTTTCTTTTCTTTCTTTTTTGAGTCAGAGTCTCCAGCTCAGGCTGGAGTGCAGTGGCACATTCACAGCTACTTCAGCCTTGACCTGCTGGGCTCAGGTGGTACTTCCTTGCCTCAGTCTTCTAAGTAGTTGGAACTACAGGTGCATGCCACCATGCCCAGCTAATTTTCTGATTTCTTGTAGAGATGAGATCTTGCCAAGTTGCCCAAGCTGGTCTTGAACTTCTGGACCCAGGCAGTCCTCTTAGCTCTGCCTCCCAAAGTGCTGGGATTACAGGTGTGAGCCTCTGGTGTCCAACCTGATGTACTTTTTCTTTTTCAGGGTACATGTGATAGTTTATACATTAATATAATTTGTATAGATCAAATCATTGTACTTAGGATATCCATCACCTTAAATACTTGTCTTTTCTTTATAGTAGATACATTTGAATTATTCTCTTCTAGCTATTTTGGAATGTATAATAGATTGCTGTAAGCTGGAGTCACCCTACTGACTATTAATACAAGGTTTTCATTTTTCTGTCAAATTGTGTGTTTATACACATTAAACTGTCTTTGTCACATTTCCCCTCTCCCTCCTTCACCCTTCCAGGCCTCTGATAACTACCAATCTACCCTCTATCTTTATGTGATCTACTTTGTTAGTGCCTATATATGAGTGAGAACTTGTGATATTTGTCTTGTTTTACTTAACAGGTTCCATCATGTTGCTGAAAATAACAAAATTTTATTCATTTTTTTGGCTTAAAAATCCATTGTGTCTATATACTATGTTTTCATTATTCAGTCATCTGTTGATAGTCATTTAGGTCACATATTTTGGCTATTGTGAATAGTGCTGTAATAAACATGGGAGTACAGATATCTTTTCAACATATTGATTTCCTTTCTTTTGGCTATATATTTAGTAGTGGAATTGCTGGGTCATATGTTAGTTCTATTTTTAGCTTTTTATAGACTCTTCATACTGTTCTCCATAGTGGCCGTATTGATTTATATTCCCACCAACAGTATACGAGGGTTCCTATGGAGAAAAAAGCGACTTCTGATTAGCGCCAGTGCTGTGAATACCTCCTGATTCTTTCCTTATTTACTGTCCTTAGTGTAAGAACAAAGCAAGTTTAATGTTTTCACACAAATTATAGTTTATGATGTATATAGCAGTCTTGTTTGTTCTGGAGGGTTGCCTTTAATTGTGTTGCACAGAGCATGTGTGCCCTTTCCCTATGGTATATAAATCTTGTGTCTGGGGAGTAACATTGTAGAGATATACCACTGTTTTGTGGTTGTCCAAGATCATGCTTCCATCTGTAAGTTCCTACCAATAAAACACCTTTTACCAACAAACTGGATTTGCCTACCTTGTTTTTGTTTCTGGTATCCTTCAGCATTTGGAGACCACTTTTCATATATGGCCCTTTCACAGAGCAGTTCCCCTTTCTCCACATCCTCTTCAGCATCTTTTATTGCTTATCTTTTTGATATAAGCCATTTTAACTGGGGTGAGATCATATCTCATTGTAGTTTTGATTTTTCATTTCTTTTATGATTGGTGGTGTTGAAGGTTTTTTCACCTATCCATTGGTCATTTGTGTGTCTTCTTTTGAGAAATGTCTATTCAAATCTTTTGCCCAGTTTTAAATCAGATTATTTGGGTTTTTGTTATTGAGTTGTTTGAGCTCCTTTATACTCTGGTTATTGCTCTCTTGTCAGATGGTTAGTTTCCAAATATTTTCTCCTATTCTGTGGGTTGACTTTTCACTCTGTTGATTGTTTCCTTTGCTAACTTGATGTAATCCCATTTGTCAATTTTTAGCTTTGGTTGCTTGTGCTTTTGTGGTGGTACACAGAATATCTTTGCCCAGGTCAATGTCCTTGAGCATTTCCCCAATGTTTTCTTTTGGGAGTTTAATATTTTCAGGTCTTAGACGTACATCTTTAATCCATTTTGATTTGATTTTTGTATATGGTGAGAGATAAGGGTAGAGTTTCTTCTGCATATGGTTATCCAGTTTTTTCAGCACTATTTATAGAAGGGACTATACTTTCCTTGTTGTATGTTCTTGGCATCTTTGTTGAAGATAAGTTGGCTGTAAATGCGTGGTTTTATATCTGGATTCTGGATTCTATTCCATTGGCTTATATCTCTGTTTTTATGCCAGTACCATTATGATTGGTTTACTATAGCTTTGAAGTAAAATTTGAAGTCAGGTAGTGTGATGCCTCTAGCTTAGTTCTTTTTGCTCAGGATTGCTGTGGCTATTTGTGATTCCATATAGATTTTAGGATTTTTCTTTTCTGTGAAGAATGTTATGGGTATTTTGATGAAAATTGCATTGAATCTGCAAATTGCTTTGGTTGGTATTGCCTTTAACAATGTTAGCTCTTCCAATCCATGGACATGGAATATATTTTCAATTTTTGTGTCTTCTTCAATTTTTTCATCAGTTTTATAGTGTTCCTTGTGTAGATTTTTTTACTTCTCTGGTTAAATTGATTCTTAGGTATTTTACATTCTTTGTAGCTATTGTGTTTTGCTTCCTGAATTTCTTCTCCAAAATGCTTGCTCTTGGCATATATATTAATAAATGCTACCGATTTTTAGATGTTGATTTTGTGTCCTGGAAATTTATTGAATTTGTTAATCAGTTCTAATAGAGTCTGTTGGTTTTTCTAAGTATAAGATCGTGTCATTTGTGAACAAGAATAGTTTGACTTCTTTCTTTCCAGTTTGGATGTCCTTTATTTCCCTTGCCTAGTTGCTATTTTAATACTATGTTGACTGGAAATCATAGACTTCCAGTACTGTGTTGCACAGAGCATGTGCAATATTAGTAAGACTTCCTTTTCTTGTTCCAGTTCTTAGAGGAAAGGCCTTCAGTTTTTTTTCCATTCAGTATGTTTGTCATACGTGACATTTATTATTTTGAAGTATGCTTCTTTATCAAGTTTAATGAGAGTTGTTTATCACAAAGGAATGTTGAATTTTATTGAATGCTTTTCTGCATTTATTGGGAGGATTATACGGTTTTTGTTTTTACTACATTTATTGATTTTCACATATTTAACTATCCTTACATCCCTGGAATGAATCCCATTTGATCATGCTGAGTGATCTTTTTAAACATATTGTTGAATTTGGTTTGCTAATACTTTGTTGAGCATTTTGAATCTATGTGCACCCATGATATTGACCTGTAGTTTCTTTTTTTGTTGTGTCCTTGTCTCATTTTGGTATCAGGCTTATGGTGGCCTTGTAGAATGAATTTGTAAGTATTCCCTCCTCTTCAATTATTTTCTGAAGAGTTTGAGTAGAATTGGTATTAGTTCCTTTTTAAATATTTGAGATAATTCAGCAGTGGAGCCATAAGGTCCTGGGCTTTTCTTTGATGGGAGACTTTTTATTACAGCTTCAGTTTCATTACTCATTATAGCTTTATTGAGATTTTCTATTTCTTCTATGTTCAATCTTGGTAGGTTGTTTGTCTTCAGGAATTTATTCATTTATTCTAGATTTTCTGATTTGTTGACATATAGTAGTTTATAATAGTATCTAATGAGTCTATGTATTTCTTTTTTTTTTTTTGAGTTGGAGTTACTCTGTCACCCAGGCTGGACTGCAGTGGTATGACCATGGCTCACTGGAGCTTCAAACTCCTGTGCTCAGGTGATCCCTCTGCCTTAGCCGTCTGAGAAGCTAGGTCTACAGGTGTGTGCCACTACACCTGGCTACTTTTTTTATTTTTATTTTTTGTAGAGACAAGGTCTTTCTATGTTACCTAGGCTGGTCTCAAACTCCTGGGCTCAAACAATCCTCCTGCCTTGGCCTCCCAGAGTGGTGGGATTATAGGCGTGAACAACTGTGCCTGGCCCTGATGCAAAAATTTTAAGAGGACATCGACATATTCAGAGGAAGCAATCATGGCAGTAAATATACTATGTAGAAACAAATTTGAACTAGGTATGTTTAGCATGTTTAGTAGGAGAAAAAGAAGATAAGTGAGTACCCTTGCACTGGAAATATTTAAACAGTAGAGAACTGATCCATGGTAGAAGTATCTGTAGAAGAGTACTTTACATTGATGAGCTTTGTGGTAGATCTTCCCTAAAATCCCTTCTACATTAAAGTGATGGCTATATTAACTCCCTGAAAATAGGATTTTATTTCTTTTGTTCATGACTGTATCCATAGTATCTAGAAGAATAATACATTAAATGACTATACAATTTATTTATTATATCAGTTGTTCTCAAAGTGTGGCCTGGGGACCCCCTAGGAGTTCATGAGACTCTTCCAGGAGCTTCATGAGGTCAAAACTGTTTTCATTATAATACTAAGATGTTATTTGCCATTCAATTACATGACATGGGATATTTCAACAGATTGAATGCAAAAGCCAATGGGAGAATCCAGCTTTATTCTTTTAAGACAGACAATGGAGAGATTTGTAAAATTCAAACTAATAATACTCTTTTCATCTTTAAAAAAAAATTATTATTTTTCATAAAAATACTATTTGTGTTAAAATATAATAGGCTTATTAATGTTTAAATTAATTAAAATGTATTTTAAATGATTTTAGCTTAATTTCCAATACAGTAAATATCAATGGATATGGTTCATATAAATAAAAACATTTTGGAGTCCTCAATAATTTTTTAGTGTAAAGAAATTTTGAGGTCACATTTTTTGAGAACTGCTGCTGTATGCTATTATTTCAATTTGATTCTAATTCAGTAGTTTTAGAAAATGTGAATTTGCAATTCATATTAGTTAATGATTTAAATAAGAAATGTTGATTTCTATTGCGGGGGCATCCCGCCACACATCAGGATGGGTCTGATACAGAGATCCCCTCGTCTTGCACACAGGTGCAACTGGAAAGACGGCCACCCCCTCGCCCATCATGCACTGCACTTTCGTGGAGAACCTGGTGCTAAACCATTAGTAGATGGCCTACTTCTGGGTCAGGGTTTTGTATGTAGCAGAGCAGCTCCCTTGCTGTGATCTATTGAAAGTCAGCCCTCGACACAAGGATTTGTATAAAAAAAGGAAAAAAAAAAAGAGAAATGTTGGTTCAGTTAATGATCTAATGAAAAGTTGATACGTGCAATCACTGTAATAAATTATAGTGGCTTGTTAATGTTTTAGGTTCCTGATTATAGTATACTATTTTTATAGGTAATTGAAAGAAATAGAGTCATACTGGCTAAAAGACTTTATCTTAATGAAAAAGCCTGGAATAAATACACTAAGCATTTCATCATACTGCTGTCAAACAAGGTAAAGTTTAATTTTCTTAAGTTTTGGGAGAAAAGACTTCAAATGTTGAGGGTTGAGACTACAACAAATCTTTGCTAAATTTATAGATTTTAAAATATAGTTTATATTTGTGCTTTATTGTGGGCAGAATTAAAAATCAAGAAAAGGTGAATACAGGCTTTTATTTCCTTATATGATTTCTATCTTAATTAAAGCATTTTATCTAAGTTAATAACACTACAAAGTTATTCATAGAATTATGATTCTGTTTACTAATGCTTAAAGTAAAGAAATAAATAACTGTGTTTATTGAAATAGTAATGACCTTTTTTTTTGAATTGGAGTCTCACTCCATTGCCTAGGCTGGAGTGCAGTGGCACACTCACGGCCACCCCAGCATCAACCTGCTGGGCTCCAGTGATCCTTCCACCTCAACCTTCCAAGTTGCCAGAACTACAGGCACATGCTACCACACCCGGCTAATTTTTGATTTACTGTAGAGATGAGGTCTCGCCAAGTTGCCCAGGCTGGTCTTGAACCTGTGGGCTCAGGCAATCCACTTGCCTCAACCTCCCAAAGTGCTGGACTGAGCCACTGAAACCCCACCAATAGTTGCACTATTAATGCATTCTATGTAATTTTATGGAAAAATTCATTGAGCACACTAGGGAGAAAAGAAGGAACTGACATTTAGTGTGTTTCTATGAGTTAAGTCATTTACACTTGTCATTTCATTTAACTCTTAAAACACTTCTGTGGTATAGGTACTAGGGTCTTTATTTTATGGACAATAAAAGTTAATCTTAAGTAGATTAAATAATGTTGCCTAAGGTTACAAAGCCAGTAATAGCTAGGACTCATATTTAGTTTTGTCTGGTTTTTGTCCCTATTCTTTTCATTACCACACTACTCCCCTGAAAGTCCTATGAGATAGCAGGGTTCATGTTGCAAAGGAAAATTATCTTGTCCCTAATACTCTATGTATCATGGAAAATTCATAGCCAGCTGAACTGTGTAGTAGTGTCGCTGATGATATTTTGAAAAAAGGAACATCTTTTCAATTTTTAAAATCCATTTCCTATGTGTTTCTCTAGTATTAAAATATTAATAATGGCCTGGTATATGTTAGTGAATATTTTTTACATGGATAAATGGATACCTTTTTTGATTCCTTGCATTTTATCTAGGATACTGAAGACCTTGCAGTATTGCAGAAATTGACACAAAAATGGAGAGACTTAATGAATAAATTTAAACAGGAGGTAGAAGAAAGTGAAGAGTCTACAAAAGAGACATTGCAAATTATTAAAGATGGCCTTATCAAATGGCAGCAGTTCTTTGAAAATAACAAGTGGGTCACCAAGAATCTTATTTTTCTGATTGTACTTTATCATGTCTGATAACTCAGTACAATTCTCTCTATTCTTTTCTCTCTTTCACCTTGTAATTACTCTAGCATCGATTTTGGGGAGATAACCAGCAGTTCCTACAAGGACACAATTCTGCTAAAGACCTTGAATAGTCTTGTGGTTTCTAGTGCCAGGGATCATCTTGATTACCCTGCCCAGCTGCTGCTGTCCATTTAAGTCTAACTCATTTTATTTTCTCTCTTCTTAAGATAAAATCATTTATTTTATTGCTCTTGGCAAACTTGAGTATCTGGATCCATTTGCAAATTCATGTGCAAAGAGTAATGCTGATAGGTGGCAGTTATAAGCAAATTGATTTTGATTGGATATCATACTTTGTAATGATTACAGAAATCTGACAATGAAAGAAGCGGTTAATAAAGTAGTTAAGTAGAGACCAGATGACTAAATCACAGCCAAGGTTAGTAGAAATCTATACTTTGGAGACTGGCTGGATTAGATATTTCTAAGGTTTGTTTTGTTTTGTTTGAGTTGGAGTCTCATTCTGTCACCCAGGCTGTAGTGCAGTGGCACACTCACAGCCACCCCAGTGTCTACCTTCTGCCTCAGCCTTCCAAGTAGCTGAAACTACAGGTGCATGCTGCTATGCCTGGCTAATTTTTTTATTTTTATTGGAGAGATTAGGTTTTGCCAAGTTGCTCAGGCTGTTTTCGAACTGCGGGCTCAGGCTATTCACTCACCTTAGTCTCCCAATGTGCTAGGATTACAGGCTTGAGCCAACTAAGGTTTTTTTAAACTTTAAGATGCTTTGTCTGTTGAGAAGACACATTTAGGTACCATTTCCATTTCAAATTGAGAATAATGGTTTCAGTTGTTCATACTCTCTAAAATGTTTCCCAATTAGTAGATTTGGAAGTTCTGAAAGTTGAAGCTGGTACATCTCTAAGCTGGTTGCTGCTGCCACGTGCCCATTTCTATTATTTGTTGACTCTTAACTGGGCAGAAGCACAGGTGTTCATAGTTCTCCTCTTTCTCTTCAGGAGCTTCTTTATCAATAGCTTGCACTTTTAGAGAAATTGAAGGTCACTGTTGAAGTTAGGACTCCTGACCTAAATTTTGTGTCTTAATTACTCAATAATCTTTCTATGTAAATATTGCTTTGACAGCTGTATTAAATAGAAATTCTTCTCATGATGATCTAGCTTTAAATTCCCAAGACCCAGAGACCACCCCTTTTAAAAAGTGCTGTTGTGGCCCATGACCCTGTAACTTGGATGCTCAGGTCTGATTAAAATCTAAATTCATATTTATAAATTTAAAGATAAATACCTATGGGGAGAAGGCCTGGACCTGGAAGGCATGCTTGAGAATTACTGAGGAGAAACATAATATTAATTGTTTAGTGTGTGGACATGATTCTCTTTGTTTTTACCTTGTTCTGAGCCCTTTCTTTTTTCTTCTTTCAGTGAAAAAGACACTGTACCCCCTAATAAGGAGAATATAGTTAACTTAATTATTTCAGATTTCAAGCAGTGGCAGAAGGTAAGGCTTTCTAATAAACATCTTTGGTAGTCAAAGTACTTGTTGTTACTTGACACTCCTGACCTACAACGGAGTCACATCTCATCCTTTAAAAATGCTATATTAAGGTTTATGAAAGACAAGGAAAACAGTAAGACCACAGGAGATTCTAAACATATGCTTAAATATTTTCAGTTCTATTTCAGTTTTTTGGGTCAAATAAAATTAGGTTGCTAGAGAATAAATTAGGAAAAGCTATTTGGGTGGCAGCCAGGGTGGTTTGATTCTCTTGTCTAACTATGAGACATAAATAATATTTGTGCCTCTCCTATATCTGGCTTTTATTTTAAGGACAAATCAGACTTTTAAAATTAGTAACTTTTTATTGTGGTAAAATATATATGACACAACATTTATCATTTTAACCATTTTTAAGTACAGTTTAGTATTAAGTACATTCACGATGTTTTTCAACTATCATCACCTTTTATTTCCAGAAATTTTTCGTTCTCCCAAACTGAAATTCTGAACCCATTAAACTATAACTCCCCATTTCTGCCTATCCCTAGCTTCTGGCAACAATTATTCTACTTTTCATTTTTGAATTTGACTAATATAAGTGGAATCATACAATATTTTGCTTTTATAACTGACCTATTTCCCTCAGCATGGTGTCCTCAAGGTTCATCCGTGTGGTAGCATGTCTCAGAATTTTCTTCCTTTTGATGGCTGAATAATATTCCCTCTTATGTATATACCACATTTTATTTATCCATTAATAACATCTTTTTAAAAGAGTTTGAGCTTTGAAAATAGGTTTCATTAATCAAAATTCTGTAATGTTATACTACTCTGATAAAGGAAAATATATGACATTGAAATACTTTCAAAGTGAATATCAAACTCAAGACCTAATGAAATCTTATCAGATCCCAAGAAACAAAGGAAAATATATAATATGGCATTGAAATACTTTTTTTTTATCAGTAATCAATATTTTTTATTATGGTTTTGTGGGGTACAGCTAAGGGTTAGGTATACAAATACATTTCATTCAGGCACCCTGTTGATAAGAGATGTTTCCCCGTCCCCAGACAGATATTTGCTACCGTTAATCCCATCTCCCTCCCCCCCATAGTTTCCCACTACTGTCAGTCATTTCCTTATAGTATTACATTGGATGTTAAAGGTTCATTATATGAGTGAAAACATGTGATACTCTGATCTTGTTTCTGTGAGAGGTCACTCAGTATTATAGACTCTAGTTCCATCCAGGTTGCTGCGAAATTCATGATTTTGTTCTTTTTTATGGCTGTGTAGTATTCCGTCATGTATATGTACCACATTTTTTTAATCCAGTCCTCTTTAGATGGGCAGCATTGTTGCTTCCAGGTTCTTGCTATTGTGAACAATGCTGCGATAAACATACGTGTGCAGGTATCTTTTTAATAGAGTGATTTGAGTTCTTCAGGATATATTCCCAGTAGGGGGATTGTGGGGTCATATGGGAGGTTGATATTTAGAGCTTTTAGGAATCGCCACACTGCTTTCCACAGAGGTTGCACTAGTTTTCACTCCCACCAACAGTGTAGAAGTGTTCCCTTTTCGCCACACCCTTTCCAGCAGCTGTTATTTTTTGAGTTGTTGATAATTGTCATTCTGACTGGAGTTAGGTGGTATCTCAGTGTAGTTTTTGATTTGCATCTCCCTGATGTTTAGTGAGGTTGGACATTTCTTCATGTGTCTGTTGGCTGCTCAGATGTCTTCCTTTGTGAAGTGTCTGTTCATATCTTTTGCCCATTTTATAATGGGGTTGTTTGTTTTTTCCTTTTCAGCACGTTTGAATTCCTTGTAGATCCAAGATGTTAAGCCTTTGTCAAACCTGGTGTTGGCAAATACTTTTTCCCAGTCTGTAGGCTGTCTCCCTGCTCTCTTGATGGTTTCTTTGGCTTTGCAGAAACTTGTCAGTTTAATAAGGTCTCACTTGTCTATCTTCTCTCTTATGACCTGTGGGTTTCGGGTTTTGTTCAGGAATTGGATGCCAGTTCTGATTTCCATGAGGGTATGTCCTTCATTTTCTAAGGTTCTTATGGTTTGAGGTTTTACATTTAGGTCTCTGATCCATTTGGAGTTAACCTTTGTGGA